TAACGTCGTCGTGAAAAACGCTAACTTTTACGGAAAATTTCATATCATCATCATCACCATCATTGTTTTTGTTTAAATTATCGATCGCGTTTCGAACACATTCGATCGAAAAGAAAATAGAAAGAAAAAAAAATTATGGTTTCCATGTTTTTTTTTTTTTTTTTTGGGGCCGGAGTTTAAAAATTCGTCCGTGAATTAAAATCGTTTTCGAATTCAAATAATCGATTTATTTATATATGTGTGTGTATTATAGAAAAACAAAAAGGATTTTTCCGACCCCCCCCCCATTAAAAAGCGGCTTAAAATAAAAGAAAACGAGTACGTAATGATATTATATGAGTAGGTGAAGAAAGAAAGAAAGAAAGAAAGTATCCGACCGATTCTAGTATCACACCGCAAAATATTGATTTGCAAAGGTTTAGTTTTTTTTTTTTTTTTTTTTTTTCTTTTCCGACCGCAAATATTTTTATTATTATTATTATTTAAGGTCTTTGCCTCTACCACCTCGCGTGTGTGTGTGTGTGTTCATATCGATACACCTGAATTTGTTTTTTTTTTTTCTTTTCTAACGAAAAAATCGACTGGAAAATCCCCCCTACGCCCTCCCCGGAAATTATGTTATCAAGAAGATAAAAATCTTTAAAATTCATATTGGCTTATGGTAAATTATAGGAATTGTTTTTGCAACCGAAAAAAAAAAATTGGGAATAAATCTCTCTCTCTCTCTCTCTCTGTCTCTCACTGTCTCTCTCATGTCGTGAATCGAATGTTCTAAAAATTTATTTATTTATTTAAATTTGTTTAATTTTTGTCGTCGTCGTCGTTTATTATTATTATTATTATTATTTTGTTTTTTTTTTTACGTTTTTTAAAAAAATGTTTTCGCTATAATATATATTTATATAAATTTTGTGTCCGTTTGTTCTATCGTTTGTTCTTTCGTTTGTTTGTTTTATTTTACGTTTTCGTTTAACGGTTATAAACCGTGGCTGTTGCTCTCTCCCTCTCTCTCTCTTTCTCTCTCATCATAAATCATTTTTTTTTTTTTTAAAGAAAGAAAAAAATTTATTAATTACTGATATTATGATTACGATAGAAAAATAAAAAATTTATTTATTTACTTATTTTTTATTATGATTATTATTAGTAAACTGTTATTATTATCATTATTATTATTATTATTATTATTGACTTTTCATTTATTTTTTAATGAATTATATATTTTAAATAATAATTTATTATTGTGGATAAAGAGTCGTTATGAAATTTCCTCATTTTTTTTTTTTTAACTCGGATCGTGTTTGATTGTTTGTTTGTTTGTTCCTTCGTTTGTTTGTTTTTCTTTTGTTTTTGTTTTTGTTTTGTTCACGTTTTTAAAAATAAAATGTTTTTTTTTCTCTCTCTTTCTCTCTTTTTCTAATTCGCATTAATAATTATCGTTGTTTTAATATGCTGTCAGTTATGTTTTTTTTGTTGTTTGTGTTTTTGTCAAAATTATTATTATTATTATTATTATCATCATTTTTCTTAGTAGTGTGTGTGTGTTTGCTAACGTCTTAAATTGCCTTTTGGTATAAAATAAAAAGAAAAAAATTAATTTTCAGTCGCGTGATGATAAGAGACAGACACACACACGCGTTGTTTTTATAAAGAGAACGTCGTCACCATCATCATCATCATCATCATCAACACGAGTCAAAATTGCCTTAAGTGACGTCACGAATCGAAAAAGAAAAAAAAACGGAAAACATAAAAAGACTTTTAAATGAAAATTAAATAAAAAATAATCATCATTTTGTGTGACGTTAAGTGATGGCAAATATTTGATGTCGCAAAAAAAAAAAAAATAATGATGATTGCTCTTACTTAAACGGAAAAAAAAAAAAAAAATTTAAATGAACGAGAGCAAACAAGACAAAAAAAAAAATTTGGGCTCGTGCGAGCAACGGTTTTTTTTTTTTTTTTTTTTGCTTTTCATACGGTGAACGCCAGCCAAGATGGTCGCGACGCCATATTTTATTTATTTATTCTCGTTTTTCGAATTATTTGATAAATCAAGTTAATTAATTTACTCGTTGATGATAACGTTTTTTTTTTTTTATCATCATAGTAATTAAAACGAGGAATTTTTTTTTTCTTCCTTTTGGGTGTGTGCGTATGTGCGTGCGCGTGTCCCGCGCTCGCGCACGCGTCGTTTTTCTCGTTTGTCTTGATTTATAATTAAAAAACGCGTAAAAGGAAAAAAATAAATAAATAAATGCGTCACTCGCGGATTGTCACTCGTTCGAATGTTTTTAAATTCGGTGAACTTTGAAAAAAACGACAACGACAACAACAACCTTTTGCAAAACAACCGCAACAACCACTCAAAGTCCACCCGAGAACGGTTTATAAGATTGATGAGTCGTGTCATTAACGGCAAAAGTAAAAAAAAAAAAAAAAAAAAAAAAATGAAATTTTAAATTTGTCTCTTTTCATGTTGCGTAAAGAAAATTTACGCGAGAAGTTTTCCTTCTGTGGTCACGTGGTCACGTGATGATAAATATTTTCTAAATAAAATGCGACACTTACGCGTGTGTTAACCCGATGGTCACCCGACCGTAAGTGACGTAGACAAAAAAAACGTTAACCCGAGTTTAATAAATCAAAAAAAAAAAAAAAAAAAAATGCGACGATCGTGCGGGATGAAATCATCGCGGTGGTGGTGGTGGTGGTAGTGGTGGCGATGGCGATAGACATCCGGATTTTTCCTTTCTTCCTTTTTTTGTAAGAAAGAGAGTCAAAAATAAAAGATAGAAAGAAAGAGAAAAAAAAATGAAGGAAAAGAAATAACTGGCACACGACATTTTGACAAGAGAATTTAGTAGTTGATAAATGTATTTTAAAACAATGCTTGGAAACAACGGATCGTGCGTGTGTGATCGTGGTAGTAGTAGTAGTAGTCGTCGTGGTAGTAGCAGTAACAGTCGACGACGACGTTTTCCTATTTAAAACGATATCATTTCGGTACATTAAAATACCGAATGAGGTAATAATTTTCAAATCCATTTGCGGTAGCAGCTCCAAATTTAATTTCAAAATCCTTTTCGGCTCTTTCCCGTTCGCCAATTTTCCCATTACATGCGAATCCGTTTCTAATAACAATCAATTTAGATAAATTAAATTTTTGTTGTTTGTTGTTGTTGTTGTTGGAAAGGCCTCCGTTTGTACGAATTCTTTTAACGTAAGTGGCTTGACCTATGGGAACAAATAAGTTTTTCATCTGTTGGAAAAGTTTACAAATCGATGAAGGTATCAGAAATAAGAAGGAAACGGATGTGAGGAAAATCAGTTTGAATTTTTTCTGTATTTCGTTTTTCTAATGCCACTGCACTGTAAGAGAGAGAGAGAGAGAGAAAAAAAAATTTTTTTTGTTTTTTTATTCTGTCACGCTCCAAATAATTTAATATTAAAATTATTCACGGTTTTTTTTTTTTTTGTTGTTGTCATTTCCTTACCCATATTACTTCGAATTCCAGTGTTTCCAGTCTTCTCTTTCTCTCTTTCTCTCTCTCAATCTCTCTCTCTCTTTTTCTCTCTTTTTCGCGAGCCTAGAGCGCCTTTAATTAAAAACTATTAAAAAAAATTTGTCGTGTCTTTTATTAACCTACTTTACATTGTTATTATTAATATTAACCTTATGTGAATATCGAGGGGGGAGGGAATTTTCTTAGAATTATACGGGATTTTTTTTTTATTAAGTTGGCAACTTTAAATTATCCTTTCTTTATTAAAATGTCAACGATAAAAAAAAAAAAAAAAAGTAGTGCAAATTTTTTTTAGTGGTAGAGCTTATTGTCACGTACGTACGGTTTATGAATTATTTAGTGTCACTTTTGTGGTCGCATGAACAAATTCGCGCGACCGCAGGACATTTAATAATAATAATAATAATAATGAATCGTTCAATGAATTATATCTTCGACTTGTTTTCCGTTTGATGATGACGTCGAAAATTGAAAGAAAAAAAAAAAAAATTCAAGTGACTCTCTTTCATAACGGAAGTTGTGAAAAATATTTTATTTATAACAATTTGACCGTTTTGGTTAATTAAAGTGACGGTGATGACGGTGACGGTGGCGACGATGACAACGACGACGTTTAAAATTTTTTTTTTTTTTTTTTTACGTGACATGAGTTTGACTTTTGAATGCGAGGAATCAACCGTAAAATTAGGAAAAGTTTTTTAGACTAAATTTTTTTTTTACAAAACCCGCGAATTTTCTTTGTCGGTTCGGCGATTTCTTTCTCTTTTTGAATCAGTTATATTGACACACGTAATAAAGTCGTTATTGGGGGGGGGAATTCGTTGATTGTGATTGGCACCCCTGTTTTCGCACACACACACAAAATTTTCAGAATTCTTTTGCGGCTTTTTTTTCCAATGAATTTTTTTATTTTGCGAATCATTCATTCTGGAATGAATTTTTTTTTTTTTTTTTTCTAAACGATTTTATTTAAATTTTAAACGTAAACAATTGTTTTGTTTTTTTCTGTCACGTGACACAAACGGTTAAATTTAAAAGAACGGTTCACTTTCGAATCTTTTTATTTAATATTATTATTATTGTTATTATTTACGGATTTTCGATTAAAATTCCGCGGGAAGTTTTTTATACGAACGGAAGCTATGGAATTCAATTATTATTATCATCATCATCATCATCATCATCACCGAAAGAAAAAAAGAGAGAGAGAGAGAGAGAGAAAAAAAAAAAGTTGGAAATCATTATAACTGTGTTTAGTTATGCTACTTGATCTAATTGTGAAAATTTTTCTCATTTTAATAATAATAATAATCGTATTATTATTATTATTGTTAATATTATTATTATCATCTTTTGATATTTTTGTTATCAAATTCGATAAAAAAAATATCACAATAAAATTTGTTATACGTTCGTGAATTGAAATTTTTTACTCTTTTTCAGCACACTCTAACGGGTCATAGCGGTAAAGTTATGGCGGCAAAATTCTTGGGTGAACCTTCCAAAGTGGTCACGGGGAGCCACGATAGAACACTTAAAGTGTGGGACCTTAGAAGTAAAGCATGTGAGTAGTAGTGGTAGTGGTGGCGGTAGTAGTATTGTATTTATGCGGTTTTTGCAGACTTTTATTATCATTGTTATTATTTTTTTTTGAACTTTTCCGACGAATCGAATTGGAAAATAAATAAAAGGCATCGAAACGAAATTCGCGGGTTCGAGTTGTAACGATTTGGTGACTTCCGACAGTGCAGGTTCGACCATCATAAGCGGTCACTTCGATAAGAAAATACGATTTTGGGACACGAGATCCGAATCGAGTGCCAACGATATTCTTCTCAACGGAAAAGTAACTTCGTTAGATCTGTCGAGAGGTAACAGGAAAAAAAAAAATTTCTTAATTATCATTATCATTATCAGTATTATTATTAATGGGCGTACGCATGTTTTTTTTTTTATTCGTATTATTACTTAGATGCCAATTATTTATTGAGTTGCGTACGAGACGACACGCTTAAATTATTAGATTTGAGAATGAATCAAATCGTCACATCTTTCAGGTAATTATTATTATTATTATTATTATTATCATTAAAAGGGAAAATTTTCCTTTTGTTTCATGCGACCACTTCCGCCGCCTTCATTTTCACGTTTATACTATTTTAATACACGTTTAATAAATTCTATGCGATGTGGCGTTACGATGGCGTCGGCGGCGGTGGCGGTGGTCACGACGTGACGATGATGATTTTTTTTTTTTTTTTTTTTTTGTCTTTTTATGCATCCAGTGCCGAAGGTTTTAAAGTTGGTTGCGATTGGGCCAGAGCGACATTTTCCCCCGACGGTCAGCACATAGCTGTCGGCTCAAAAGACGGTTCAATATTTGTGTGGAGGGGGAGTACGACAAAGGTTGACGTTGTCCTCAAGGGACACACGTAAGCGTTTTTTTTTTTTTTTTTTTTTTTTGTTTGATCCGACATTATGAATTATTAACCCAATTTTTTTTTTTTTTTTTTTTTTTTTTTTTTTAATCTTCATTTGTGACGCTCCTCTCTCGAACCCAACCACCTTGACTTTGCGAGCGTGAATTATTATTATTATTATTATTATTATTTCGCATTTGAAATGATTCGATGATGTTGCCACTTCTTCTTCTTCTTCTTCTCGGGCGATTATATCTCCCATCACTTTTGGGCTAATTCATAATGTCAAACGGATTTTTTGAATGACTTTTGTAATTTTTTTTTTTTTTTTTTTTTTGACTTCACGGTTTGTTTTATACTTCCTTTTCTCTCTCTCTCTCTCTCTCTCTCTCTTTCTCTCTCTCTTTCTCTTTCTTTCGTCGGATAATAATTCATTTTTTTTTTTTTTAGCGTGTGATATGTGTTTCATCATGTCTTTTTAATTAAGCGCATGCTTTGATTTTCGTCAAAGTCAAAATTTAGACGAGCGTCAAATGATGTGAAATAATAATAATAATAATAATAATAATAATAATAATTTTTTTTATGTGTGTCATATTTTGTTATCGTCATCATTGATTTGTAAAAAAAAAAAAAAAAAAATGTTTTTTTTAATTTAGGAATGCTGTGACGGCCGTGTCCTGGTTACCTTTCGGTACGGCCATAGCAAGCGTCGATAGAGGTAAAAAAATAATCGTTTGGGGTGACGTGTGACGCCAGAACGAGCCGACGGTGGAGGAAAGAATACAGAAAAAACAGCAACAACAACAACGTGTCGTGGTAAGTATTATTATTATTATCAATATCGATCACATATATTTATTCATTTTCCGCGGAAAAATTTTCGTGAGAGAGAGAGAGAGAGAAAGAAAGGTAGACAATTAATTAAACGTCATCAAAATGTATTCGTGTCACCAGAACAAAAAAAAAAAAAAATTTTTTCTAAACGTCATGATTTTGTTTTTTTTTTTTTTTTTCTTTTCTTATTATTTAAAATGCGGAACATCTTCTTCGTAAAGATCGTGAAAGAAAAAAGAGAAACGGATGTTTTTCCAGAGCCGATAAATTTTTTCTAGTATATCCAGGTAAAACAAAAACATTTTTTTATCATCATCATCATTATTATTATTATTATTATTATTATTATCGATAACAGAGCACTCGCGTTAAATTTATGTTTGTTCTTAACAGTTTTTGACTTGATTTTGTTTTTGTTTGTTTTTTTTTTTAAATTAATTAATAAAAATAAAACGTTTGTGATTGATAGTAAGAAAAATCCGACAAATTTAACGGAGAGTGAGGGAGTGGGGGGAAGCAACAAAAACCGGAAACGGAAATGAAAAATACGTCGTTTCCGGCGTCGTCGGATTTTTACAATTTTTTTTTTTTCCTAGTAGATTAATTTTTGTTGTTGTTGTTGAGAGTAGTTAGCTACGACGAATACGTGAATTGCTAATAATAATAATAATAATAATAATGATAATTTGTTTTTTTGTTGTTTTTTTTCTTCCAGAGGAATGAAAGTTTTTCCAACTGGAAAAATTTTCTACAATTTAAATCGAAAAGAAAAACGTCGAAAGTTTACGATTCTTGCACTCGTTGGTATTCCGACTGAAACCGTACGGCTACGTTTGTTCAAACGTCATCATCAGGGGAGGAGGGGAGAAGAGAAGAAATTAATGGAGGATGGAAAAAGAGAGAGAGAGAGAGAGAGAGAGAGTGAGAGTATATCTGTAGAGCTGGAGAATTTTCTTAAAACAACCGAGAGAGAGAAAGAGACAGAAAGAAAAACATTCGTTGAATTCGGTTGTTTATATTTTGTTTGTTTAAAAATTTTTTTTTTTTTTTATACCATTGATATTATGCAAAAAAAAAATTTTAATAATAATAATAATAATAATAATAATAATAATACTGTGACGTAATAAAAAAAAATATTTTAACGTTATCATTATTTTTTTTAAGTATTTGTATATATTATTATCGTTATTATTATTATTACTGCGATTGTTGACGTCGTCGTCGTTGTTTTTTTTTTTTTTTTTAATCGATCATTGACGTTTTTATATTGTTTTATCATTATCATTATTATCATTATCATTATTATTATTATTATTATTTATTAATAATGTTTCGTTAAAGAAATAAAATTTCGCGTCGTGTTTTTTATTATTATTGTTTTTTTTAAATATTTACAAAAAATTTTTTTTTATGTCAAATATATGTATATATATAAAATTAATTAATAATAATAATAATAATAATGATGATGATGATGATGATGATGATGATTGAATTTTAAAATGTGAAACGGAAATAAATTAGTTATGTTTGTTTTATTCGTTTAATGTATGTAAAAAAAATTTTTTATTTTAAATTTTTTATTAATCGTAGAGTGCAATATAAAAAAGAAAATAAGAAAAGAAAATTTTTTTTTTAAAGAGAGAGAGAGAGAGAGAGAAAGAGAGAGTGAGCGAGAGAGAAAGAGAGAAAGAAAATTTATTTGCAATGATTGTTTATATATTTTTTAACGTTTTATAATAATAATGGTTTAACAGTACCGGAGCGCGTAATTTTTTTTTTTTTTTTTTTTAAACAGTTTATACCATATAACACACACAAAATAATAATAATAATAATAATTTTCGAAATGAGTTTTTTGTTGTTGTTGTGGTTGTTGTTAAAGTGATTCTGACGTGATGAAGCATATTTGAAAAATATTTCCCGAAATAAATTACGTTGCAATTAAAATTGCAAAAAAAAAAAAAAAAAAAAAAAAATTTTCGTCATCATCATCATCATCAACATTATCATTATCATCGTAAAAAAAGTTTTATTAATCTTTAGGGGAGAAAAAAAAAAAAAAACAAATTTTTAACTTATTAGTAAAATTTATATATGTAAGAAAAGAAAAAAAAAGCTCAAAACGTTTATTTAAAAATGGCGATGATTTATTATAAACTTTGACACGTTTAAAAAAAAAAAAAAAATTACAATTCGTTGTTATTAACTTTAAGGAAAAAAAATTATACGGTGGGTAAGTGCGTGCGTGCGTGTACGTCCGCGATTTATTTTTTGTTAATGAATTTTTTTTTAATGAATGATTTTTGGCGGGAAAATAATTTTTAAAAAAATTAACCGAAAACGTAAATAACGAGGATGGGAGTGATGGTGGTGTATTCTTGTAATTTAATTACTAGGAGGTTAGGGGAGGATATTTTAGGGACGGGGGATCTGGGATTGAATTTCTTCGTTGGGGGAGATCAACTTGGATGCCTTTGGGGAGCCCGAGGTAGACAGGTTGAAACCGGAAAAGTTACCGAGTTGAGAGTCGTGAGTTGAGTCAAATCCTGGAAGTGGGAGTTCGATTTCAGCTTGTCCAGCAAGAACAGGCCTGTACCTACGTACAGGGCAATGGGGATTCGTTGACTCTTGTTCCATGGGGATGAGTCTGGATACTTGATTTAAAATGGAGTAAATGCGGAGTCGCGACGGGAAAGATGAACGATGAATGGGATTCGCGAACTCGGAGACTCCGCGGAAAAGGCAAGAACGATGGTAACAGATCGGGATTGCCTTTCGAAGAGTAAAAAGGGAAGCACCGGGATCTTCCTCAGGTGGGTGGCGGGAGTGTGGACCTGATAGTTCTGGTTCAGGAGGAGGTTGAGGCCGAAAAGCAGGTTGTACTCCCCCGAGCCCCTCCCTCCGTTAAAACACGCCCAGGAATTTTAGTTGGGTAGAGTCTTCGTCTGAGTCCCACATTTTCCCTTTTTCCGGGGGTGTAGGCTAGTGAAAAATGCTGCATTTCTCCCGGGTTAAAAAACTTTTTCAATTGTCCAAATTTTTTTTTCCCACCGGAATTTTTCCAGAACCCCCTAGTAAAATTTTAAAATTTTCCATTGGGGTTCCAAACAAAAAAAAAAAAAAAATGAGAATAAAATAAAACAAAATCGATTCTATCGATTTTGATTAATCGATTTTTACACGACCGATAACAGTAATCATAATAAATAAGTATTATTATTATTACCGATCGGGAAAGGGGGAGGGAGGGGGAGAGGGAAAAAGAAAAAAAATCGATTTAATTACATTTTGTCTTATTCATTTATTTTTTTTTTTGCGCGCACCTCATTGAAAATAATCATATAAGTAACGAATTACTTTATTACGTTGGTTAAAAAAAAAAAAATTACGTTTTATTACGAGTAATTAAAATAAAATAAATTAGTTATATGTTATGAAAATTTATCATTTGAAATTTATTATTATTATTATTATCATTATTATTATTATTATTAAAGTTTATTAGTTTTTTAGCCTTTGGACAATTTTTTTTTTTTTTCTTCTTTCAAATTGATGCCAACGACCGAATGCAAATGTTATGAAAAATTACTATATATTATTATTATTATCATTACTATTACTATTATTATTATTATTATTATTATTATTATTATTATCATTTCAAATTGTAAAGAACAAAAAGAAAATTCGGTGCACGTTGGTGACGTTTCTTTTTACCTTAATAATAATAAAGAAAAAAAAAACAATCGATCGATAAATCTTTAAAGAAATAAAAAAAAAAAAATTATTTTAGTGGGGAGAAAGAAAGATGAGGGGAGGGGGTGTGGTGGCGTGTGGGGGTTGAATGCAGGGGGTGAAAAGTTTAAATAAAAAAAAAAAAAAATTGTGTTCACGTCATGTTTTTTGTCGGTGGGGACGACATCGCGGAAATCTCCGATTCTCGATTTTTTCTTTTACGTTGTTGCTGTTTGTTATTATCATCATTATCATTATCATTATTATTATTAGTTTCTTAGAATTGTTCATTTAAATAACATTTGAAAGTTTGTTTGTTGTGTTTTATCATTCTTAGTTAGTTTTAAAGGTTGGGGAAAAAAAAAAAAAAAAAGTGTTTGTTTTGACAAAAAAATGATTTATTTTAAAAAAAAAAAACAAAATATTTGAAAAAATAATAAATAAATAAATAAATTTGTTGTCATTCATTCAATCAATCAATCAGTCAATCATTCAATCATTTTTTTGTTTTTTTTATAATGAGAGGAAATTTTATAAATATAAAAATGTTTGAAAAATTATTAAACGTTGGAAAATGTTTATCGGAATTATTAAATCAACCGCAAATAAGCGCCGCTTGTATTCTATTACAATTCCTACAAATATTAATACAGGTTTTATTATTGTAAAATAAAATAGAAAAAAAAGAAAATGGCGGAAAAAAAAGAAAATTTTTTAGGTACGGATTGGAGAGTTCCGGTTCCGGCTCCTGATTCGGCAACTCTCAAAATATCAAACAACATACAAAGTAAAATTTTTTTTAAAATTTTTTATTTATTTATTTTTTTTTAAAAATACTATTAATAATATTTTGTTTGTTTGTTTGTTTGTTGTTTGTTTAGAATTAAGCATCCTCTCGGCACTCAACGAAGTGCTGAAAGAGAGACGCACTTTGGAACATAAAAGGAATTCATTGCTTCAATCTGCTGTTCTTCGTCAACACCAGGTATTGGAAACGAAGAATAAGGTACACCGAATAACAAATCATAAAAATTTTAAACAATTGCATAATAATAATAATTTTGTTTGTTGTTTGTTGTTGTTGTCAAGTGCGAGGCAGGATGGCAGGAAAAGATAAACGATGCAAAAGAAATATCCGATAAATATGAAAAACAATGCAACGATTTAAGAGAGAAAAGAGATCAATTACATAAAGAATTGATAATAACGATCGATCGTACGACTTCTCATAAATTATTACATAACATTCCATCAATAAGAGTAAGTAATAAAATTTATTAAAAAATAAGTAGTAGCCATAATAATAATAATAATAAGTAATAAAAACGTCGAAGTTAATTTAAAAAAAAAAAAATCGATTAACGAAATAATTTTCAATCCAAGTTAATTTATTAAGTGATAAGTTTAAAAATTAAAAATGGCGGGCAATAAAAAATGTCGTTATGGAAAAGTGTAAATAGAATGTTTTCTATCTCTATGTCTTTCTATTTTCCAATAGGCAAATTATAAAATACAAGCTTGTCAATTACAAAGATACATAGCCGATTTAAAAAGAAGAGTAAACAATGCGAAATACAGATTAGACACGGAGAAAAAGGTAAGCAAGTTTTTTTTTTTTTAATTACTTCTTAATTACCTTGAAAATTGATACGGTAATGATGATTATGGCGGGGGGAGATGGGGGGGGGAGTAGAAAAACTAATGCGCATAAAGTTTCAAGTCGGATTTGCCAAAAAAAAAATAAAAAATATTTTTCAGATTGCAAATTCGTTAAACGATACCGTAAAAGGACTTAGAATCGAAGCCGGAAATAAAAAATTTACAACCATGTCTATAAGACCGCAAACATTAGCAATACTTTCACATCCGGCTCAATGTAAATCAACTAGAGAGAATTTCCGGTTGAAAAATACATCGAAATTTATATCGGGAGTTAAATCTTCGTGGAGTAAAGCTATTTAATTTAACATAAAATTCAAATTGTTAAATTTTTTGTTTTGTTTGTTTTGTTTGTTTAACAAATCGATTGTTATAAAAAATTTTACGACGACGACGAAATATAAAAATTTATCATCGTTATTAATTTAATCTTATCACGATTAGAAATTAACATTAGTAAGAGAGAGAGAGAGAGAGAGGGAAAAAAAGAAAAATCATTAAAAATAATTTAATAAAAAATTTTATATTGCATCATTATCATTATTACTATTTTTTTTTTTAGATAAATGCACAAAAAACTAATAATAATAAATTTAAATTTAAATTTAAATTTTTTTGTTTGTTGTTGTTCTTATCGAAATCTCTCGAATAATTTTCATATGATAATTATTATTATTATTTTTTTTAATCAAATGGATTTTTTTTTTTTGGGAATGATGAAACAAACTAATTTCATTTTCTCATTTATACATTATCATTTAAGTTTTTTATTTATTTATTTATTTATTTATTTTTTTTCATTATTATTATTTATATACAAAAATTTACAAAATTAAAAATTAAAATTAAAAAAAAAATAAATTGTTTTGTTTAAATTTAAAAAAAAAAAAAAAATTTAATCTTTATTTTAAATAGATATATATTTTAAACATTAGTACTTTGATTTAAACGAATCAAAAACAAAAAAAATACATTTTATTAGTACATGTTTTTTTTCATAAATATCGTTTAAAAAAAAAATTTTGACATTTTATATATATTTGGGAGCTGCTAAAAATGCTTAACTGTTTTATTTATATGAATATGAATATTTTATAAGAAATGCTTTATTTATTTTTAACATCAAACTGTTTAATTATTAAATAATTAAAATAATCGATAATAATAACTTATAATTACGACTGATGTATGTTCGATTGGTAAGAAAAATTTTGTGTGTATATGAAAATATTAAAAAAGAAATTGGATTTTTTCTGTTGTTGTTGTTGTTGTCTGTTTGTTTTTTTAGGTTTATGTGATGTTTGGAATGGTGAAATTTATTATTATTATTATTATTATACCTGCGATAGAAAGTTGAAATTTGAAAGCCAGTTTGTTGAAAGTTGTGTTGTAAGACCAGATTTAACTATTGTGGAAAAAAAAATTATGCCATTCTAATACTTTGAATTATTTGAAGTAAAGCTGTGAAAAAGAAAATATTTTTATTTAATTAATTTCAATTTAATTATATATTTAATTTTAATTAATTTATTGTATTTACCTGAACCACATACTACGAATATGAATAATGCGAGAAGCCATGGACCAACTCTGTATTTATCATCTTGAGATTTCTGGAAAAAAAAATAATAATAATAATAATAAAAGACAAATGTAATTTAGTGATTAGAGAAAAACATATGTTTCATGTAAATGATCTTCTAATGATAATAATAATACATAATATAAACATTATGGAATACAAAAACACTCAATCGACAAAAAACGAATCGAAAATAAATGAAAAGTTTGAAATTAATAAAAAAGATTTGGCACAAATAAAAAAAAATTATTAAATAAGGTCAACGTATAACGTTACCTTAGATAAATAATCCAGTTATAATTTAAAAAGAAAATATTTAATTATACTTACACTTGATTTTTGTACAACTCCTCTCATTGTAATATTTTTACTAGCTTTTTCATTAGCAATTTTCATTCTTTGTTTAGCAGCCATTTTTAGTTAAAATAATTTTATTTAATTAAATATATATGTGAAATTTTTTTAAAACACTTTGTACGAAAGAATGTAGACAACTGGCAGTGTAGTGTGTGACCTGATACTGGTCAAAAATGCAATACGTGGCTATTATTCCAGTGTTTATTATTTCCCGTCTGCCACTGAGTAACAACTGTACAATTTTCAGCGTTGCCAACTGTAAACTTTTACCGACGTGGATGCAGATGAAAAAAATTTTTTGCGGGAAAAATGTTGTGACAATCATTTCTCATTACAAGGTGTTGTTGCATTGTTGAAACTTATAATTAATATTTTAATTTTTTTTTTTTTAATTTTTTTATTATTATTATTAATAATTTAAGAATTAAAAATGAATGAGGATATTATTAATGATGATAATCAAGTGTTAATTCGAGAATTACAAAGAGATTATTTAGATTTTTTGGATGATGAGGTGAGTTTAAATTAAAATTTTACAAAATGCTCTTCTTAGTAATATTGACTGCTTTTTTAATTCTTAATTAATTTTTAATTTTTATTTTCATTCGCCAATGTACAATTAAATTAGCTTTTGTTTTTTAATTGATTTTTAGCAAGAAAGCGGTAAATACTATGAAAGAACTAAAGCCATGATTGAAGACAAAGATAGAAGAATAATTATAAATGTCAATGATTTAAGAAAAAAAAATCCAAATCGATGTCGGGGGTAAAATTAGTTTAATTTATTTATTTTAAATGTCTCTAATATTTTTTAAATATTTATTTTAATTACATTTTCTTTTTTTTTTTTTTTTTTAGTTTATTGAATAATTGTTTTATCGAGCTAGCTGCTTTTCAAAGAGCTGTCAAAGAATATGTGGCTAATATAGATCCTGCTTATGCTAAAGAATATGAAGATTTTTTTATAGGATTCGAAGGAAATTTTGGAAGCAAACATGTCACTCCAAGAACGTTAACCAGCCAATTTTTGGGAAATTTGATATGCGTCGAAGGAATCGTCTCTAAATGTAAATTTCTTTCTTTTTTTGTTATTTATTAAAAATTATTTGTATAATTATTATTATTGACTTAATTAATATTAATTTTTCCAGGTTCTTTTTCAAAGTTAAAAATAGTTCGTAGCGTACATTATTGTCCAACAACGGGGAAGTTTTTAGAACGAAAGTATACAGATTTAACTTCAACTGAAGCCTATCCATCTTCAGCTGTCTATCCTACAAAGGTTTGTACATAGAATTTCCATCTTTCTTCTAAAAGCCAAATTTTGAATAATGATTTTTTATATATATAATAATTATTTTAGGACGAAGATGGGAATTTGTTAGAAACTGAATATGGACTGTCTTGTTATAAAGATCATCAAACGCTAACAATTCAAGAAATGCCTGAAAAAGCACCTGCTGGACAACTTCCAAGATCAGTTGATGTCATTTGCGACAATGATCTTGTCGATGCCGCAAAACCTGGAGATAGAATTAGAGTCATAGGTTGTTATCGATGTCTGCCTGGAAAACATGGAGGTTTCACAAGTGGTAAGTAATATACCTGTTTATATTTCAACTCCTACTAAAAGTTATTTAAAAGTGCATAAAATCAACTTTTAAAAATAAAATTTTAGGAATTTTTCGTACTGTTGTCATTGCGAATAGCATTTCTCTCATAACATCAACATCTAATCTCATTCTTTCGAGAGATGATATGAATAGATTTAAAAAATTGTCAAGAAGAAAAGACATTTTTGAACTTTTAAGCAAATCCCTTGCTCCATCTATTCACGGACATGATTATGTCAAAAAAGCAGTTTTGTGTTTGTTACTCGGTGGAGCAGAAAAAGTTTTACCCAATGGAACAAGACTTCGAGGGTAAAAGAAATTTTTTTTTATTTTTGCTTTAAATTCTTTTAGTACTTATTTAACTTAAATATAATTTGCAGTGACATAAATGTTTTGCTCGTGGGAGATCCCGGTGTTGCCAAATCACAAATGCTTCGTTTTGTTTTACAAACGGCGCCAAGAGCAATTCCGACTACAGGTCGAGGTTCATCAGGAGTTGGTTTGACCGCAGCCGTCACCACCGATCCCGAAACTAATGAAAGAAGGTAATTTAAATGTTTGAAATAAATTTTTATAAAATATTTTTTATTTCATATTTTTAATTTTATAGATTAGAAGCTGGTGCCATGGTATTAGCTGATAGAGGAGTTGTTTGCATCGATGAATTTGATAAAATGTCTGACATTGACAGAACGGCTATCCACGAAGTTATGGAACAGGGTAAAGTGACCATATCCAAAGCTGGAATCCACGCACGTTTAAATGCTAGATGCTCCGTGTTGGCTGCTGCAAATCCCGTGTATGGAAAAGTACGTTCGTTACACATTTTTAAAAAAATGCAAATTTTTTTATAATTTAAATCTAATGGTTGTTCTTTTATAATTTTTTTTTTAGTACGATCAGTATAAAACTCCAATGGAAAATATTGGACTCCAAGATTCCCTTCTATCCCGTTTCGATTTGCTTTTTGTTTTATTAGATATCGTTGATACAGAAGATGATAAAAGGATTTCGGATCATGTTGTTAGAATGCATAGGTACAGAAATCCAAATGAACAAGATGGAGAAGTACTTTCGATGAACACGGGTGCGGATTTAATATACACATCAAACGATACTGGAAAGAATAATGAAAATGATATGTTTGAAAAATATAATCCTTTGCTGCATGGGAAAAATCGATCCAAAAAGTCAGTTCATTTTACTTAATTTTGTTCGAATGAAAAGTAAGTTCAAAAAAATAATAATAATAATAATTTTTATTGTTAACAGAGATCAAATATTAACAATAAATTTTATAAAAAAATACATAATAATGTGTAAATCAATGAAACCACCAATTTTATCAGAAGAAGCATCACAACTCATATCGGAAGAATATTCCAGACTTAGGTCTCAGGATACATTAAGTTCCGACGTTGCCAGAGTGAGTCATGAGTAATAATTTTTTTTAATAATAATAATAATTTTAAATTAATTGAAAAAACTTTTTCTGTAGACTCAACCCATTACGGCAAGAACATTAGAAACGTTGATACGTTTGTCTACGGCACGAGCCAAAGCGAGATTTTCAAAAACCGTCGATGCGGAAGATGCAGCTACTGCCATTGAATTAGTTCAATACGCCATTTTTAGAAAAGTACTCGATAAAAGAGATAGAAAGAAAAGGAGTCGAAACGAAGACGAAGAAGAAATGGACGTGGATGATGATGAAGACAACGAAATACGAGATCAAAGATCAAAACGTTTAAGAAGTACACAGGTTGGTAGTTTCACGATTTGAAAATACTATTTTATTACTTTTTATTATTAAATTTAAATTTTTTTTTTTTTTACAGGAAGCTGATGAGTTTGAAAGATTGACGAGTCAAGAAGAACAACCTACGCCATCATTGGCCGAATTAAGGGAACAATCTCGCATCACAAGAGAAAAAGGAGGAACGAGTCAAACGACACAAATCGATGTCTCGAACGAAAAGTAAGTAATTTTTTAATTAAAACCGATCGCGATCAAATATGGCGCCTCCCGATCCCCCCCTCTAAAATCACACAAATCTTTCAATCGGTTTATAAAAAAAAAAAAAAATTTAAGGTTGAAGGTATTCAAGGATACGATATCGAAAATTTTTGTGGCGACGAGAGAACAATCACTTCCCATGCACGAAGTTATGAGTTATTTAAATTCTCAACCGGAACCAATGGCGAAAGAAGAAATCGATGCGTGTTTTCAAATTCTTTCCGATCAAAATTTACTCATGATTTCCGACAACACCGTTTATTTAATTTAGATTTTTTTACTCAGTCAATCAAAAAAGTATTTTCTTTTGTTTTCACGACGATGAGATTCCCATCATTTAATTATTAATTAATTTTTATGTAATTATTATTAATTACCTTAATTAAACGTTTTGGAATAAGTAGGATGATGATAAAAAAAATAAAAATTTTATTTTTACGTACATAAATATATTTATTTATTTATTTATTTTCTCCAACGTGAATAAACAAAACGAGAGAGTTGCAAATATTTAAAAAATCGCAAAAAAAAATTAATATATATATATATAAAAGCTCAATAGAGTAAATAAGCAAAATCCACTTATATTATTATTATTATTATTATTATTATTATTATAAATGTATATATAATTTCAAGCCCTGAGATTTTAGTATAAAGTTTTTTTTAAAAAGATTATTACTATTTCATTGAAATGATTTTTATTATATTAGAGGTAAAGGCATGACCATTGTCGGATATAACATTGAAACATTGTCTTGATGATAAACCAACATGGAGGAATTGTTAGGAGGAGGAGATGTCACGTGATATTGTTGTATTGTATTATCTCTTTGTACTACTACTAAATCGTTTTCTTGATTTAAATTTAAATTATTATTTTCATTCGTGGAATTATCATTCGTCGTCGTGATTGTTTCATTAACGCTTTCTTCTTTATTATAATTTTTATTTTTTAAATCAAGATCTTTTAATATGAGTTCCCCGGTCGCTCTCAAACAAGCAGAACCTTTGTGATTTTTTTTAACGTGCCTTTTACGTTGCGATCTTTGACTGAAAGCTCGTCCGCATTCGGGACACGCGTAGGGTAGTTCACCCGTGTGAACTCTCCTGTGCATAACAAGGCAAGATTTTCTGGCGAATCCGTGACCGCATATATCGCACACAAAGGGTTTTTCACCAGAATGAACTCTTTTATGTTCTTTGAGGTAGGTACTTTGTGCGAAATCTCGTCCGCAAACATCGCAGACGTAGGGTTTTTCACCCGTGTGCGTTCTTATGTGTAATACAAGGTGTGCTCGCCTGTGAAAACTCAATTCGCATCTGTCACATTTATGCGGTTTGTCAGAATAATGAGTCTTCATGTGATTTGTTAATGATGCAGTGTGACCAAATGATTTGCCACAAGCAGAACACAAATAAGGTTTGGCACCTGTATGTTGGACCATGTGATCTTTTAATATACATAAATAAGCGAATGTTTTTTTGCAAATCGGGCACTTTACATCTTTTTCATATTTTGTTTTCTTTTTCTTATCGCAAGGCTCATCCGAATTTGAGATTTTTTTTTCTTTTGAATTTTTTTTGACCTTAACTTCTAAATTTTTTTCAGTTTTTTTCTTTCTTTTTAACACTCTATGAGGCACTTCACTGTTATCGTTAATTAAATTATCTTCCTTATCTTCTTTAAAAGAATATAATTCTGAATTTTCTAATTTAAAATCTTCAATGTTAGATTTAGTTAAATCATTGTTTCCATTTGTTTCTTTCTTAACTAAATGTAATTCTTCACTTTTAACTGTCATTTGGAATTGATTTTGCTAAAAAAAAAAAATAACATTATATAAATTATTTTATGCCATTTTAGGGAATAAAATAAGAAAAACTTGAAGCGACTCTAATATTGTCGTAAAAAGCATTTAATTAAACATTTCGATAAAATTATGAATTAGAATTAGGTTTGAATGGGTAGTTTATACAAAACATATAAAAGTTTCAATATAAAAAAAGTTCTTACTAAATCTGTATAAGAGTACAGAGGTTTAACCATTGATACATATTTTTTAAGAGTTGCATCAGCAGTAAGACACTTTTCTCGAAAATCATAGGCAACATCAACTTGTGATAGACAATCGGTGCAAATTAATTCGGGTAAACCATCTCCGAGAACGACCTAAATAATAAAATTTAAAAATTTTTAACGTTTCATTTAAAAAATTTGAGATAAAAATACACAAAAACAAAAATTATATATATTTATATAACCTGAATCGAAGAGCAAGCCATTATTTTTGTCGAAACGGGTATCGGACTAGATATTTCATCATTGTAAAAAATTGATTTAAAATCATCTCCTTCCTTTAAACAAATTCTACATATTTTATTTAAATTAATATCCATTTTAACATAATATTAAAAAACTTTAATTGTTTTTTTAAGCATTTTTCTATGTTGTTTTTACGTGGAATTAGACGAATTAGTTCACGTTTTATCCGCTTGGGAGTTTCTAACGAATTAAAATACCGGTTTTTTTTTTCCTTCACCGACACATTTACAAGGTAATTTTATTAAATATTATCAAATTAATATACATTTTATTATTTATTTACAATTAATTAATCATTTTATAAATTTCCTTAAGTAATTTATCATTAAATTTTTTAAAATTGAAATAATCGAGAAAGTCATTTTTTCAAACGTTATGATTAGGGTCAAATTTTACATCAAGTTAGTATGTTTTCACTAACTTTACTTTGTTTACATAACTGCCAAAAAACATTCTTGTAAATTTAATGAATTTTACTTTATTGTGCATAATACTTATTAAAATTTATAATTTTTTAAGACAAAGAACATCTATTTCATCATACTTTATGTTAAATAATTGATTCATCACTTAACGGTTGTAATTATTACTTTAAAATTTCAGGTACCATTCATTTTCTCTATGACATTAACATTTTTGAGTATTGAGTGATCCAATTTTCATAAAGTTAAAGTTTTTCCAAATTTAATTATAGTTAATCCTTATAAAAATATTATAAAGTGTTGTTGTAACAATACATTAATGTTTTTATGTTGTAAAATGTTGTAATTATTTTATTTGTAGGAAATTAAAAGAATGAGCAATAATGTTTCAAACACAAATAAAATAAAAAGTTTACAATAACAATAATAATATAAAACAATTAATATTTATTCAGAAGTAATATAAAAACAACATTTTACAAAAAAAAAAACAAAAACATGAATGACTAATGAGTATCAATGAAAAGACAATGAGAAGATCATTCATAAATTATAAATAAAGTAATTTTTTTTTTTTTTTTTCTATTTCTAAAATTAAACTTTGTTCAGTATTTAAAAATTTTGATACAAAAAAAATACTTAAATGTTTTTTTGTTTTCACAAACTTAAAAATATTTTTAGAAATCTTTCACAAATTAGCCAAAATCAAAAAATGTTAATCAAACAAAGGTAAAAAAAAAAAACAGAATAAAAAGGAAGAAAAAAAATCCTTTGACGACGTTTTATGTCATTTTTATTAAAGTCGTGCATTTTTTTTTTTTTTTTTTTTTTACCACGCACTAATTTTTATCGCGTGCGTAGATAATACGGAAAAGGATTTAGTTTTCTTTTTTTTTTTTGGGGGGGGGGAGGGGAATTCAAACACGCATACGGGATTAATAAGTCAAAACAAATTAATTTTTATCCCTTTAAATTACTTTTTCCTTTTCAGTCAGTTTCATTTTGTTTTTTTTTTTGTTTTTTTTTTCCAAACAAACACTTTAAATAAATTTGGGAAATTAAAAATAAAAAAATTGAAATTTTGAATCCACTTTTAAATATTTTAAAAAATTTAAAAACGTGGATCATCTCAATAACAAATTAAAAATTTTAAAAAAAATATATGACGAAGAGCCAAAACGTTTAAAAAACGACGATGTTTAATAATAATAATAATAGTTTTATTTATAGATTTTTTAAAAATAGTTTTTTTTTTCAGTTTTATTCTAAACTTTGTGAATCGTAGAACAAAATGTCTTTAAAAACTGTTAAAAATTCTTCTGAACAAGATAAACATAAATGTAATGTTTCAAATATTATTTGTCACGATGAATTAATTATATCAGGATCGGATGATGGTAAAATTAAGGTGAAAATCAATAAAAAAAATATCAAATCAATCGATTTATTGTAAAATTTTATTCCTGAATGTGTTTTATGTTTTAACGAGTCGCGCCATCTTTGTTTTAAATCGTTTTCATTACAAAATAAATTTTTTTTTTTTTTTTGCTCCTCCGAAAAGCGTTTTGTCTATGAAGTGCATGTGAAAATAGGAAAAACCCAAGAATATTTTTTTTTATTTTTTATTACGATTAAATTTCAAAACGTTTTTTCCTTTCCCCCCCCTCCTCCCCCTTCGCAAAAAATTAATCGTTATCATCATTATTATTTCGTTTTGTTTTGTTTGTTTTTAAAATGATTGTTGTTCCTTCAGTCGTACTTATTCACGTTGATTTGCGTCAAATTATAAAAGTTTTATCATAAAACGATGCGTAGGTGTGTGTGCTTGTGTGTGTTTGTTTGTTTGTTGTTTGTTTGAGGATAAATTTTTTCTTACTCAGATTACCTTGTTGATGAAAGTTTTTCAAGTCAGACGACGACAATACATGCACTCACGCAATACATAGTCGATCGCATGCATCCGACGACGTGTTTAAATTTAAAAAATAAAAATAAAATTTTCTTTTGTTTACAGATATGGAAACCGGATCTGGAATTTGTTACAGAGATGGAAGCTCTCGGTGGAATTTTATCGATGGCAGCAAACGACAACGTTCTCTATACGTGCTCCTCCGGCGGTTCTATACAATTATGGGATTTAAAAACGGGTAAAAATTCTGGAACGTTGACCTCAACTTGTTACCAACCGCAAAAACTTTACGTTGACAAAATCGAAAAGGTTTTATGGGCTGGCGATACCGAAGGAAATGTAATTGATTTAAAGTGGCAGTAGAATTTGGAGCTTCCTCCTACCCTACAGGAGAAAACTTTATAATTTTTTTTCTCGTTTCAGGTCATCAAATTTAAAGATGATAAAGAAATAGGAAAATTCGAATTGGTAGAAGAAGTTTGGGATTTGATGGCTGTTGGAAATATGGTATACACGGCAAGAGATAGAGATGTAGTCGTGGCAGAAGTCGTTAACGGTAAGTAAAATTTATATAATTTTATTTAAACTTTCTTCTATTTCTTTTAACTTTGATTTACTTTTTTTGCCAAAAGGTTCGGTTAAACCTTGCGCGGTTGTTAAATTCACACACCAAGGAAGGAGTCCGCTTTGTTTTCTAGGGAAAAATTTTTGTTTTTTAAATCGTGACGGACGAAATTTATGCATACACGAAAATAATTTGGATAAAAATTTTCCACGAATTAAAGAAATCGTCGCATCGGATTTAATTATAAACGCCGTGACGTATTCGGAAACAGGAAATGCCGTTTATACCGGCGGATACGATTCGACGGTTAAAAAATGGGATTTAAATACATTCGAATGTTTAAGTTCGAATAATTTGGGTTGTTGCATAAACGCTTTGTCGTTTTCAACAAAAAATTATTTATACGTTGCCAGATCCGACGGTTTTATAACAAAACTCGAATGTTAAAATTTATTTTATAGTTTTTTGACCTGAATCTCTCTCTCTCTCTCTCTCACTCTCTCTCTTTTATGAAATGCTTTCTTTGCCTTTTTATTTTACGGGCTATTTGTTTGCTTTAATGAAAAGTTTCAATTAAAAAAAAAAAAAATGGTATCGATTTGTAGTTTGCGATTATAAATGGCGCAATAAGATAAATAAAAAACCCTCGAAATTTTTTTTTTTTCACATTCTTTGTTTTAATAATTAAAAACCTTCTCATGGTTAAAAAAGTATCAATTTATAATGGAAAACAATCTATTTATTCAATTGCGTTAATTTGAATTGAAAAGATTCGAAATTACAAAATTGAAAATGAAGAATTTATTGTTGGATTACTTCGGAGGGGGGGCGGGGGGAGGGAAACTTCATCATTTTCCGGTGTGTGTGTGTGTGTGTGTGTGTGTGTTGAGTAAATCGACGATAGATGATATCTTACGATAAAAATTTTAAATATCGAATGTTTTTTTCGATTTAACAATAACAACAATAAGAACGATCGCGTTGGGAAAATTTTTATAAACAAAAAAATTTTCATGAGTTTACCATCGTTAAAACCACGACAGTTTTCTAAGATATGAATTTTTCATCGATAAAAAAAAAGAAAAAAGTTTAATAAGAAAGCTTATTATATTATTATTATTATTATTATTATTATTATTATTATTATTATTATTATTATTATTATATTGTTGTTGTTTAAGGTCCTGTAAAAGACACGCATGACATAAACTGACTTACTCGATGGAGATGTTATCGCCCCATCATTTTCAAAATGTGGTCACACGTCAACTTTCGATTTTTTCTTTCTCCCTCCCACTTTATCCCGCCCCCCTTCCCATTCTTCTTCTTAGTTTTAAGGATTTGACCAACGACGGTTAATATAAGTGTCATTAACATGCCATGCAATGATTTTAAGGATAATTTTTTCCTTTTTTCCTTTTTCTTTATTTATTTCGGTGGAGAGAAAGAGAAAAAGGGAAGTTAGATGGGGCGTGACGATTTTATTTCACAAAAAAAATTTCATATCGGGTTTTAATGAACGTTTTTAAATTTTTTTAATTGCGGATTATTATAAATAACAATAATAAATAATCAAAACAAAATAGTAAAGTAACAACAACAACAAACAATATCAGAAAATTGTCACGACGCGAGGTTTTTAACTGAAAAAAATTTTTTTTTTTTAAATTTAAATTAAATTTTTTTGCGACGGTTAAAGGATTTTAACGTGGTTTTAACCGGGGATTGAACGTAGCATTAGAAATTTTTTTTTTTTTTATATTACCTTACACAACTATTGACACGCATAATTTTTTTTCCCCCTATCGTAATTACAAGAAAACCGTTAAATAAATTTATTTATAATTTAAAAAAAAAAAATTTTTTTAAATCGTTATGTTGGTAACATTGATTTTTTAAATTACAAGTCGAGTCTCGTTTTATAAATCTGTGACGTATTTATTTTTTTTTTTGGAAGGGAACAATATTTATTTGTTATTTGATTTAAAATGACCTCATGAACCTTTTTTTCCTTTCTTTTATTTCTTTTCTGTTTTACCAGTTCTACCCCCCACCACCCACTACCTCCTCAGAGATCCCCAATTAATCGATATTAAATTGCTTTCCTTAGTGACGTTAAAGTTATATTTATTATTTTCATTTTGTCCAAGTGTTAAAATCGTGACCAGACGATTGATGCACGAGGGGAGGGGAAACCTTTCCTTTGTCATTTTTTTTGTCTTCTGCTCGAAAAAAAAGGAGAGTTTCGATATATCGAATTGAAATCGAAAAAAATCGTTATTTTAAATGCGGTAAGGAAAAAAAAGGGTAATTGCATTAAAGAAAAGCGTAAGATCGCGTGCAGAAATGAAAAATAACAATGTCCCCATCTTTTGTTTTGTCGTGGTGGCGATGGTGGTGGTGGTGGTGGTGGTGGTGGTGATGGTGGTGGTGGACAATAGACAAAGAGGGTAAGTTGAAAAAAAATTTTTTTTGTTGACCGCAACACGCACGTAAAAGACGTTCGAAAGACGCCCCGTGTCGGGGTCGGATTCGTGACGTCAAAACCGGATGTAAAACTCCCTAAAAAACCGGAAAATCATTTGAATTTAACCTTTTTGCTGCCAATTAATGTCCTTACTCTTTTTTTTTTCCTTTTTATATTAAACTAATGATAAATAATTTTTTTTTTTTTTAAATAAAAATTCGTTTTTGTCACATGAGTTTTCGAAAGGGAAATAAAAAAAAAAGTCGTTATCGAAGTCGTTTTAAAATGAAATAGAAAAAAAGAAAAAAAATGGCGAAATTTAAACGCGCATTCATACTAAAACCATCCATTAAAATGAAATTGATTAATTATTGATCATTAAATAAATACTGATAAAAAAAAAAAAAAAAACTGAAGAAAAACGTAGACAAAACATAAGAAATCGTTTAAAAAAAAAAAAAAAAACTATTTTTATTCTATTTAAGTAAGATTTTAACTTACAAGGACGTTCATTCATCGATATACCATTAAAATCGGGTCCGAACGGGTTTTTTTTTTTTAAAAATTTAACGTAGTTAAAGAATAATAATTTTAAACAAGGGAAAAATAATGATAATAATAATAAGGATAATCGAGGAAAAGAAATAAAAAGAAATTTGAAAAAAAAAAGGAAAAGTTTTACGAAGCATGCGTATAAAACTCACACGCACACGCACACGCACACACATAACAAGAAAGAACAAACGCAAAAAAGATAAAATTTCGTGGAAAGAGAAAAAAAATTTTCAAATCGAAAAAAAAGGGAGAAAAATGAAATGATAAAGACGAAAAAATTAAAAATTTTGGAATTTATTTATTTATTTATTATTATGTAATAAGGGCATAAGTACAACGAAATCATTTTCCGGTTTTCTCCGAAATGGAAAAAAAAATAGTTTCGTAGAATAAAAATATGCGTAATGATTTTTTTTCTATTTTTTTTTTTTTTTTCATAAAAATAATTTTCACATTTTACGGTATGAAAAAGCAGAAGAAAAAAAAAAAGGGAAAATGGTTTGTCGTATAAAGAAAAATAAAAAAGAAAAGAAAAGAAGAAGAGAGAGAGAAAGAGAGAAAAAGAAAGAATTTATTAAATTTAAAGAGTAGAGCGGGGAACCTGCGCAATGACCCTTGCGCAATAACAATCACATGGACTTCATCTAAAAACTCTTTCCCATTGGTCGACTCCGCTATCAGAGATGGCACAAGAAATAAAATGTAATTTTAAAAAATTTTTCAACGTAAAAAGAATAAAAAAAACGTGTAAATCCTTGATAAAAGAAAATTCTTTTTACATTTCTTATTAAACTCTTTATTTTATTCAAATCAAAGCAAAAGGAAATTCCCGGGCAGTGTCGTTACTCTCGTTCACTCATCCACCGTTGAAGCGCTGTCGTCGTGGTGCGGGTGATTTTTCTCTCTCTCTCTCTCTCTCTCTCTCTCTCTTTTTTCTTTCCTTCTCTTCTTTTTCTTATTCTTTTCTTCTTTTTTTTTTTTTTTATTCTTTCTCTCTTTCTTTCTTTTTTTTTTTTTTTATTATTAAACTTACTTCTGACTCGAAGGTAAAACGGATTCGTTATTATTATTTTCTTATATTCCAGAAACTCGTCATCGGTGGTGGTGGTGGTGTCACTATTATTATTATTATTATTATTATTATTAATGTGTTATCGATGTGTTTAACAATCGGGATAATATAATAAACATAATGATCGTTTTTTTCCGCGATTCGAAATATTTATTCGGCGGGATTTTATTAATAACGTCATCATCACAACAAATCGAAAACGAAAACCAAAAAAAAAAAAAAAAAAAAACAAAAATTTCACGTACGGAATCAATCAATCAATCGTGAATCGTTTTAATTTATTTATTTATTAATTAATTAAATTTTTTTTTGGTGATAAGAGTGAAAAAAAGGTTTCGAAAGATATTTAAACATCTCTTGTGTTAGTTAAAAAACTTTTTTTGGTTGGTTATTGGAAAGAAAATTTTTAGTTTTCATTTTTCCGAGGAGCATGAGGTCGAAACCCGTCGCAAGAAGGTTAGCACAAGGTAAGCAATGGGCGGGAGATGATAAGGATGATCCGGCGCATCCTCACTCATACGAATTCCCGATGACAAGATAATCATTCCCCGGGGCTCATCCAATCCCGATATTATTCAATAGATTTTAGGGCGTTACGATTTTTTACATCTTTTTTTTTCTCATATATACGCGCCTGCGTCATTATCTCTTTTTTTGAACTGACAAGATAATTATAAGGGATGCTGTTGCTCCAACTCCTGCTGCAGCATCAAAATAATCGACAAAATTTTTTCTCTCCTGTTTTGGGCGTGGTTTTATCATCATCATTATTTTCTTTGTAACTTTTTTTTTTCTTTTCTAGAACCATAGTGTCACTAATTTTAAATATTTGATCATTTATTTATTTAATTTTTTTTTAACTTTTATCTTACATTCTTAAAACGTTCTCTCATCAAATTTGTTGTTGTTGTTGTTGGTGTTTCAGGTATTAAATTTCGTCGTATTTGCATTAGTCACTTTTTTTTTTTTTATATGTAGCCTTCGAGTTTTTAAAAGAAAATCCTTCCTTCCTTCCTTCTTTCTTCCTCCTTTCACCCTCCCCTTCATTATTAATAGTAATAATAATTTTTTTTTGTATTAATTAATAATTATTTTTGTCGTTATCATTAATAAATCGGATTTGTCGTCGTTGTAAATTTTATTTTATATATATTTTTATAAAAAAAATTTGGGTTACGAAAACGATTGCACGCAATTTTTGTTTTTTATCTAACCTTAAAACTAATAATTAATGCCGTATAAACTTTCCCGATGAAAATTTATATTTATATATATATATAAAAAGTAATAATTTTATAAGTTTTTTTATGTTTTATGTTTTAAATATCTTAAACATGTAAGGAAAAAAAGGAA